TTAGATAGTTGTAAATGTATATGTACATTTGTAACTATAATACCTTAGAGTACTAATAAACAGTTAAGGCAAGACTGTCAAATTAAAAAAAAATAATAATAATAATTATCCTTCTATACTATCTTCAACATTGTCTTCTTCATCAGAAAATTTTTAAATTGGTCAGCAATTAATTGACAAAAAGAAATGTTAATTGATAAGCAGCACCCCTGCTGATTATTAATACTAATTAGAATCAATTGACAACAAAACTGCTAATTAAAATTGATTATAATCGCTTTAATTAAAATTGATTGATATTAAAACTAAATTAAAATCGATTATTTTTGTATTGATTAGCTACCAATATTAATTATTGTCAATTTTCCTAATCAATGGCAATCACTTCTGCAGCTAGTAATTGATATCTACTCTATTTAAAAATTTTCTGATATTCATTATCTTCTTTAACATCATAATCTTCAACACTATTTTTTTAATATCTTTTTCTTCTTTACTATCTTTTTTAGCATTATCTTCTTTAACACTATCTTCTTTAACACTATTTTCTTCACTATTTTCTTCTTTACTATAATCTTTATCATTTTTTCCACTTTATTTTCTTCTTCTTTATTATCTTTTTCAAGTTATTTTACACCTGCTAATACTACTAGAAAGATTGAATTATTAGAAGCAAAAATTCATACTTTAAGAAAAGAGAATATGCTACTAAAAGAAAAACTTGAAATGTTTAAAAATTCTGGTACTTGTGCATTAAAGCTAGCTCTTAGGTACTCTATTTCTTGAATTCCAATACAAACAAATAAATCAGAGTCCAATTGGCCAAAAAAAAAAAAAACTTTCTCTTTGTTTAACTTTTTACTAATGAAAAATCTCTACAAATATTAAAAGAAATAGATAAGTTAGCAAAGAACAAAGCAGAAGGTATCAAACAAAGAAAAGAAGAGGCAGCCCAGAAACGAGCTAATCAGAAAGCTGAAAAAAAGAAGACAATGAGTGAAAAAAAAGAATAGTTATATAAAAAAAGAAAAGATGGTTATGTGTAGTTATACTGTCTATACTTATCTGTATATGTATTGTGTAATTCTGTATAATATTTCAATATTAATCCGATGTGTGTCATAATACTCCCAAATATAAAAAACATAGCATTTTATGAGTAGATTTTATAAGCTTATATTTTCATAATTTTTGTTGTAAAGGCGATTTTTTTTTTTATTGGTAGATAGTTGATTATTTGAGTAATCTATTTCTACAAGTTTTATAAACAAATTATTTTTTTTGAAAAGTTTTATATAAACAACACTTAGGTGTGTTATAATACTCCACTTTCTTTCTTTCTCTTATGAGTGCAGCAAAGAGAAAATATATACATCTGATTGATATAACTCCAAATAACATCTAAAATAAATATTCAGAGTTATATCAATTAGTTGTACAAAAATGTGTATGTTTTCTTTTAGCTACACTCATAAACTCTTGAAAGAATTATAGCGATGATTAGTGATGGGACTTCCTGAATTATTAATAAATTAATTAATAGTGATTATTAATTAATTAATTGAATTATTGACTAATAATGACTTAACTAGCTCTTAAGACCCGGTCAGTGACCGGGTTCGAGTTTCTAATTTTTTGCTAATTATTAGGCCTCAATATAATTAACTCTTAGGTCTTAATATTATTAACTCTTAGACTTCAATGTTATTAGCTCTTAAGACCTGGTCAGTGATAGGGTTCGAGTTTCTAATTTTTTGCTAATTCTTAGACCTTAATGTTATTAGTTTTTAAGACTCGAGCATTGCTTCAAATTCAAAATTTTAATTTTTGCTAATTTTGAGACTTTAATATTATTAGCTCTTAAAACCTAGTCATTGTCTGAAATCGAGCTTCTAATTTTTTTTAATTCTCTGGTCTAAATTATATTAGCTTTTAAACTTAACCTTGTTTAAGTTTGGATTTTTTGGAATTAAGTCCAATTTGGTTTCAAATTAACCGATGTTGGTTCAACAAACCCGATGTTGGTTTGATAAACCCGATGTTGGTTTGATAAACCTGATGTGGGTTCAATGAACCTGATGTTGGTTTAACTAACCCGAATTGGGTTTAAATGAACCCGAATTAGGTTACACACACTTTCTTTCCTCTCCACCTTTCTCCCCTTTCACTCCCTTTCGCTCCTTTTTTTCTCTTCCCTTTTCTTCTCCTTTCTTTCCTTCTTTCTCCTTCCTTTTTCTCCTCCATTTTTTCCTTCTTTTTCCTCTTTTTTTTTTTTTTTCACCTTTTTCCCCTCTTTCTTTTTTTTTTTTCCTTTTTCCCCCCTCTTTTTTTTTTTCTTTCCTTCCCCTTCTTCCTTTTCTTACTATTTTCTCTTTCTATCTCTCTTCTCT